AGATTTGCTAGAAAAGCTTGTGGTGGAGTGCTATGTATGCTTGCCTTTGCTTTCACCTAGAATTCAGGGCCATTACTTTCTGTAACCATTTCAGTGAGCTGCCATAGTTTTCAGTCTGTACTGTCACCTGATCCAAGCATGCGCCAAAAAACCCACCGTTTCTGGCTACTGTCTGCTGAATCTGCTTTGCGAACCCTTAGTTCTTTAAGCTTTTGCTTTAGCCAAAAACAAAACAGACACCCTTTTGGAGTGTACTGGACACATGCCATCCTGCTTCCCCTAACTCCTTTAATGTTTATGTAAATCCTTAGCTTTACTAAACTTGTAAATGCTACAATGGCATCCTCATGTGGAATTGTGTGGCTCATGTGTCAAAATAAAAGGCTGCTTGTGGTGAATATATTTGTCCAAAAAATATGAATGCCTACACATTGCACTGCATTCAGTGTTTTGTATCGATTACTATTCCAATGTCATGGTGTCTGACTTTAATTGTATAAAATCATTTTGTATTTAATATGCAAAGGTAAGTTTGTGTATACTAAATGTTAATACATAGTATTTTATATATTTACAACTATATAAATTATCTTGGTTCACATTATCTTACCACATTTTGAAAAAAAAATTGCCCTACATTTAAATGACATAAAAAGATCTCTTCATTCATATGCACTTGCTGACAAACATGGCTCCTGTGGGATTTCTTTTTAATCTTGTGCAATGGCAATTGGTTGACTTTTATCAGTGGTATTGGGCCTGGTCCTGTTTCCCATTGTTTGTAATGGGGAAAAAAGCTTTGACTTTAATGAGAGTGTGATCAGGCCTATTATATTACTGTGGATTAATAGTGCTTTTACTTTACATCTTACTATTCCTGACATGTTGACCAGAATCTGGGGAAAGAATAAGTGGTAAAATGTTATCTGAGCACTCCACAGATAAAAGAAATAGCTGTGAGTCTCTCGGTGCAGAGACTGCATCCTTCTCCCATATAATTTACAGTATTTTAAGGTGAAGTGAGTGGAAAATTGTCTTGTAATCTTTTAGGAAGCTCACTCCTAAATTTTGTAATCCACGTGCCCAAAATCTCCCTGGAGGGAAATGATGTGTGGTACCAATGTGGGGACCTGTCATTATTTCTGCTTTTCCTGGTTCTCTTTGTCCACTTCCTTCTCTTTTGGTTTTACTCCCACCCCGTCCTTGTTTGCGTCACCTTACTGGTTGCATTTGTATTGCTCTTTTTTCTTCTCACCTTTTTCTTTCCCTGTTCGTTTTTTTTCTCCTGACTGTTCAATACTTTCTGTTTCCACCTCCCCTCCCCCCTTTTTTTGCACTTTTTTTGTCTGAGAGTAAGCAGCAGCAGTAGCTGCCAAACTGTAACACTTCCCATACTTATGGCTGCAGAGGGAAATTGATCAGCATTCTAGCAGGTCCTTTTGTATCCAAGTCTTTATGCAGAGCTGCAAAAAGAAACATACTAGGGTCATGAGATTCTAGCCGCACTCCCCCTGCACCTCCCTTTTTTTGCGGGGGGGAGGGGCAAATGTTTCTCTTGCAAAGTCATAATGTATTGGAGGACTGTTTCATCAAATGAGTCTAGCTAGATACCTGTTGCCCACTGTAACTGATCAGGAAATATAGTGAGTAGCTAATGTAAGTGCTTTAGTTGCACTGGGCTCTTGACTTGTTATAAACTACAAAATTACTAAACTTAGTTATGTAATAGACATACACATTAATAATTGAATTACTTGTCTTGATTGGGTTTAGGTAGAAGGGTCCCTCCTGAGATTTTTACTACTTTTGGCACTTGCATCACTTTGAATATCCCTCAAGCCAGAGAGAGTTAGGGATGGCACCCTTCAGAATGTGTTTGTTGCTTTTTCTTCTACATCTGCCTCCCATTTGGCTGGCATTTGTAGCACTTTCCCTAGAGTTTGAAAGGACTACCTCTCTAGTGTTCCCAGCTTCTGGTGAAAAGCATGGGACCTCATTGAGGGTTTGAGTGCAATTCCTCAGTGTGGGCCAGATTTTCTGTGTTCAAACTTGCAGTCAAAATAGCTTTAAATAATGACATAACATTCCCACTAGTGAGAGCATAAAAAGCTTACATTGATGTCACTGAAAGTGTATAACCAGTGTATTCACTTCTATGATTCTAAAGATAAATACACTAAGAACAGTATGTGGGTTTTTATTAGTAAACACAATGGAACCTGCTCATAGTAAACTAGGTGTAATGAAACTTGGTATATCGTTGTCAGTGAAAGTAACAAATTCCTTCATCATGTAAATTGCAGTTCTGACTGTAGTTAATTCCGATGAAGAATGAAATTTGTGAGTGTGTATATTTATTTTACACACACACACACACACACATTCTCTCTCTCTCTCTCTCTCTCTCTCTCTTCTACTA